GAAGCTAAGATTTTTTGAGCTTTAGCACATCTCTGTAAAAGTAAATAACGCGTCAAGGTTCTTTTTAAACATGCTGTTTTTTCTCTCGCATTCTAACTATTTCACTTATGTTTCCAATGCGTTGTTTTGAAGGGCGCTTTCAAATTTCAAGCTCACTCTTTTTGGACTACGCCGTTCGATTACTCATTAATGTCAAAGTATGCGCCCGAATTATATGAAGATCTTTCGTTATCCTCCTTGATAGTGTTCAAAGGCGATCTTCACTACAGAAAACTCACTGGTGATCGCTCTTGGCCTTTAGACTTTTCATTTACAGTAAGTTTTTCTTGATGTTATGTTTGCCCTATTGTAAGATCAATTAGGTGATGGAAGTGTTACGCAATAATTCTTTTGAAGCATACTTTTTTTCTGGACACATACTGCGAACGAAATTTAAATTGTTTGAGGAAGCTTATATTATTGCATTAAATTCTTATCTTTAGGAAGCTTTGAGAGGTTTCCACCCTGCCCCTCTCTTGGCTTTGCGAACTCTTAAAGCGGAAACACAGGTCGGTTTGAGGAGGGAAGTAATCGAACGTATGCAGAAGGACTATAACGGAAAGAAGGAATGGATGGTTACTGGTGAATATGCCGTAGCGCAGTTAAGCAAGTAGCAACTAAGCGATTGTTTCTGAAAATCGTTACTAAAAGATGTAGCTTTCACTTTGCGTGCATTTCGTAAATAAGTGATCGATTTTTTTGAAAAAGTGATCATATTTGAAGACAATTATTGTTTATTACATTTTTCTTATCGTGTTTCAAGGTTTTATAGTTTGACCTATAGAAGCCTTACTTGTTGGAAAATTGTTTTTGTTTCAATCTTTTTGAATCTTCTTTTTGTAACATTTTCTTCGTCATGATTTTATCTAATAAAGGTTTGGCGACCGAGTGGCAGCAGGAGTTTTGTAGGAAATTCTAAGTAGCAGTTAGAATGCACCTTTTTCTTGTGACAAAGCAAACAAAGAGAAATACTCATCTTCTCGCCATAGCTAATTGAATAATTGTGGAATTGGTTTTTGGTTTTAGAAAGTTAAATGGAGGAACAGTTGAAGTTTACCTCGCTTCAATAAGTATTATTGAAGCATTGTTACAATCGATTAAATCTACGGGAGCAAAAAAAAAGTCTGACAGCAACTGGACTTTTCATTAATATGTATAGTAATACAAAACAAATTTTCGTTATAGTTTATCAACATTTAGCATACTGCAGTTTACCTTTCGGGCATCGTTGATAAAACCGTAAAAAGTGACGAAATTTATTGCGTTTTTAAGCTTGATATTGCTGACTAAATAATAAAATTTACTAGTTTGAAAGATAAAAAACTTTTAGATATACAGCACCGCTACTATTCTCTAAACAACTTTCAAGCAGATATTCATGTTTGTGGCCTGTTGCTCAAAAACACCAGTGGTTGAATTGTATCACAACATATTGTATTCTCATCAAAAACCGTCAGCGAGAAGATTGGAAAGGAAAGAAATCTAAAAAAAATTTGGTAGTCTTTGTTAATCAAAAGAAATATAAATACAACTTTGTGGTTTCTTATTAGCTTGTCACTTGTGATTATCAGACTTGATGTTTTGAGAGAAGTCTTCTATAAAGCGACGATTGTTGACTGCAAACATCACTCACCTTTCTTTTGCAACTGCCGGTTATAAAACTTCACATCGCTTTGCTTTTACAGACCAAAATTTTGTCAAAGTCACTTTCACACTTCTTTCTATGATAAATTGGTGCAATACGCCTCAGAAGTAAAAAAAAACATCGGTATAAGTGAAAATTTTATTTGACCCTAAGAACTGGAGGGTATGTTAGAACGCAATATATTTTAAACTTGCGAGGAAAACAGCAAGAAATGAATTACTCTAATTTAATTCTTTCTGTTGAGTTTGTTTCTTTCAAAACTGGTATTCAATTTCACAGTCTTTCTCTTTAGTTAGAAGTCTGCATAAGTTTTTTTGACTCAATGGTTAAGATGAAAACAGTTGATTAACCTCTAATTTTGGCTTTGTTTATCTTGACGTCACACATGACACTTTTGATTATATGCTTTGCCGTGACCAATGTTAAAGCCAGAAATGGTATGCCTGAAACGCAAACTCGTCGGCGATTGGCTCCAGCTAGGCAAAGATGAAGAAATTGGGATTCTTACGTTAACGAAGGCCGATCAGCTAAGATGGATTGATAAAGCGGCAGAGGCAACCGTACAATGATGTACTTTTCGTGATGAGCAACCAAACAGTCTTCTCTAGTAGTAGCTTTGAATTGCAATACTTTTTAGCTGAATTTTAAGCTTTTGTCGGCTATCAGATTCATTATACTTAATTACAATTTGTAAGTACTTTCAAGCTTGCAAGTTATAAACTAGTATTTCCATAAATAATTTTTTTGCGCGATGAAGTTTTAATTCTTTAAGTCTGAGGTGTTCGACATAATCTCACGCTTTCTTCAGTTAATGCAAACGGCAAGAAAATATTAACAAAATAAAACTTTTGACCTATTTTGTTGCATGTTTTGTTAAACTTCATTTTCTTCTCTAGTATTTACCTGTACAAACTTCTACAGAATAAAAGTTATGTGTTCATACATGATTAAAAAAACAAAGAAACTTGAACCAGTTCAAGACTTTACAAAAAGTTTACTTAACTTCACTTTATGATGTATCTACAGTAAATTTTGTTCGCGCTCTGTACAATTACCTATTCATCGGCATTTCAAAATGTGAAAAAATTTGGTTTTTAGAAGAAACTTAGTAAAATAATCACTTAGTTCGTATATAGAATGATGTGTAGATATCCGTATTTATTAAATTCGGCAGAACTTCATTTGTGAGCAAATCATTAGTTCCTTTGTAACATTCAGATTATTCTAAGTCATTTATGCCTTTACAGTACCGATGGTGTAGTTATCTGCGGTTGAGTAATCATCAAAATTATAATTTATTTTTTTGTTTTTATTTTTTTTTACAGTGGTACAACGATGGCGCGACATATAAATGTTATTTCAATTGTAATATATTTCTTTTTGAAAGTTGCATACATAAATTCGGAAGCAGTCATAACTCTCTGTTACTTTTTATTCCGCCGTTTTGATAACTTCTGTTGACAAGGGTCAAAAAAATTTAAGTTTTGACTCTCAAAATTAATAAGCTAGAATGAGCCAAAATAAAACAAATTTTAAATAAAATGATATTCGGCGACTGTGAAAGGCACTGCGGTGATCAAAAGCTACGCAACCCGTAGCTGTCGAAATAAAATTTTGACAACGAAAACAGAAGACATTTCAGAAGCACTTGCGGTGAACAATGGATGGCCCCGATTCGTCATATTCCTGCTTTGAGATCCACATCTACAGTTCATTACATTGTAATTATTCAGAATGCTGTGGTAAAAATTAAAAATTGGGCGTAAATCTCAAAGATTCTGCACTGTAGTTCAAACACTTTACCTGCTGGAAGGTAGATAGAGAAGCAAGGATAGAGCCACCAATCCATACTGAGTATTTACGTTCTGGTGGAGCAATAATTTTGATTTTCATTGTGCTTGGAGCCAGAGCGGTAATTTCTTTCTGCAATTATAACTTGCAAATGAGCAGTTTTTTTTTATTTTAAAGCTTAATTTTGCAACGATGAATAATTGTCACTGATTGGCTTTATTTATGCAACTTACTTGCATACGATCAGCAATGCCAGGGTACATAGTGGATCCACCAGAAAGAACGGTATTTGCGTAAAGGTCCTTACGAATATCGATGTCACATTTCATGATGCTATTGTATGAGGTTTCATGAATGCCAGCAGATTCCATACCAATGAAGGAAGGCTTAAAATAAATTTTCTAAAACAGACAAAAACATGGGGCAGTTTAAAATGGTTATAAAAGCTCTCCACACGCCGAGAGCAGCAGAAAGAATAACAGAGAGTACAAACCCTTTTGCTTAAAAAACTGAAATAAGTGTTTTGATCGAGAGCGCTAAACTAACTTGGAACAAGGCTTCTGGACAACGAAACCTTTCATTACCAACGGTGATTACTTGACCATCAGGCAATTCGTATGATTTTTCCAATGACGATGACGATGCAGCAGTTGCCATTTCCTGCTCAAAGTCAAGAGCAACATAGCAAAGCTTTTCTTTAATGTCTCGAACAATTTCACGTTCAGCCGTAGTTGTGAATGAGTAACCACGTTCTGTTAGGATTTTCATCAGGTAGTCAGTAAGATCTCTACCAGCCAGATCCAAACGTAGAATTGCGTGAGGCAGAGCGTAACCTGAATGAATGTTTTCTTTATAATTTTGAATTCTACTTTTGGATTCTACACGCAAAAATTCCTTGCTTGCTGACCCTCATAAATAGGAACAGTGTGAGTTACACCATCGCCTGAGTCAAGAACCAATCCAGTGGTACGGCCTGAAGCGTATAAAGAAAGAACGGCTTGGATAGCGACATACATTGCTGGAGTGTTAAAAGTTTCAAACATGATTTGAGTCATTTTTTCTCTGTTTGCTTTAGGGTTCAGTGGTGCTTCTGTGAGCAAAACTGGAT